ACACGGCAATTTTAAATACATTTTCTTCATTATTTAAATTGTTTTAACAGTGTTTGAGTTACAGGTATTCGTAATTGTTCTGGTCTGTTTGGGTGCTCCATAGACTGGGTAGCTTATGAACAGCAGAGATGGCTGGCTGGGAAATCCTGTGCCGCCATCCATGTCTCGGGAGGAGGACCAGTTTCTTGGTTCACGGTAGCTTTCCTCTCACTCTGTCCTCGTGTGGTCAAAGGGGCAGCAAAGAAAGACATTTTTAAAAGATTGCAATAAAGAAAAAAAAGCTACATGTTCTCTCTCTTCCTATACTCAATAAGGGATATTTTAGTAACCAGAAGTGTGTGGAGTTTTTCTCACAACCAACAGTGTCCCCCAATTCAGCTGAATTTTGACATCCCTTGGAGATGTCATCAGATCCACAGGCTGAGGGCTGATTCCACAGATCGTGCCCATTTTAGATGACAACAGTCTAGGCCTCTGGGCAAAGGACAGGCTATGAACTGTTCTCAGCTCCCCCACATCAGGTTTAGTTAATTTGCTACAGTGGCTCACAGAATTCAGAAAATGCTTTGCTTATGCTTTCTAGTTTATCTAAAGGATAAAGAGAGTCAGTCAAATGAGGAGATGCCCCAGGGATCCTAAGTGTCCCTGAGTACCACGCCCCCACAGCTCCTCCATGTGTTCAGCAGCCTGGAAACTCTTCAAAGATCAAGCTGTTTTTGTAATAATTATTCTCTATTGGCCTCTGATTCCTATGGTTTGATATTTACCTTTATTCCACCTGGCCTTTCCAGGAATCAGTCATCTTTCTGCAACTATGGAGAAGCACCTCCTCCTCAAGTCACCTCTTTGGAGAAGCCCAGGTATTTGACTCACTATGAGGAGAAAACTCACTCCTGTCTCCTGTTATCTATTACCGTCCCATTGTGAAAAAACACCCACAACTTAAGGAGGAGGGGCTTAAAGGATTTATAGTCCCATATGGCAGAGTCCCATGGAGTTCATGGTGGCTGGACTATGACTTACACTGTGACCAGGAGTCAGAGAAGGCTCCAGAAGCTGGGATGGGGCCCCGCCAAAGGCTTGTCTCCACTGACGTCTTCTGTCAGCTAGGTTCCATTAGGCTGAGCTCATGCATCCTGAAACAGGGCCACCAGTAGGGACAGGGTTTCAAAATGTAAGCCTGTAGGGAACATTCCAGATCTAAACCACAATACCCAACAGCACCTTAGGGATTTAAAACCCCTGCAATGGGAACCAGCAAGAAATATCAAACACACCTCATACCACAGTCACTGATTCTATTCATGAAGCTCTGTTCTCATGACCTAATCACCTGGCATCTCTTAATGCTCTCCCTGTGGGGCTGAGCATTTCAACATACAAATGTGGAGGAGGGAAACCCAAGCATTCACTTATAACTAAGCCTCTATAACTAGCACAATTCCCAACGGCTTAAGTTTTATTCTCTCTCTCTTTCTCGTGTGTGTGTGTGCGCACGAGCACATGTGCACGTGCATGTATGCAAGCCCTAGGTGGATGCTCTGTGTCTTTTCCTGATCACGCTCCATCTTTAGTTTTTTGAGACAGGGTCTCTCACAGTCCTGAAACTCAACAATTCAGCTAGGCTGGCCAGCCAAGGCACTCTGGAAACCACCTGACTCCTCCCCTCCCTTACCTTTCCAAGGCTGGGGTTCTAGGCCACTGCCTGATGTGTCTCTTCTTATTAGTTCTGGGGGTCCAAGCTCAGGTCCTTGTGCTTCGAGCCATTCCTCAGACCCTCCTGTAAGTTCTGTAGGGTTACCAGTGAAGCTGAGTTCCAGCTGGAGAGATTATAGTCTCTAGTCACTAATCATTTGGTCTAAACATCAATAGAAATGGGCTCTCGCGTACAGCATTGTCGTCTTCTTAAGCATTGTTTGCTGAATTGCCACCGATGTCTGGCTGACCTTAATCTTCACTTTGATTGGGAGTCTCGTCATTTGCAGCATAAGATCAATCATTGATTATGTAAGTGGAAATGGCTGTGAAACTGAAACAATTCAAAAGGATTATTGATTGCCTTCTCTTTGAATCTGGTAGGCCAAAGCTCTCTCCTACCTGAAAATTGTAAATCGTTTTTTCTTCCCTCCCTCTCTTCCTCACTCCCTTCTTTCCCCTCTCTCCCCTCTCTCTGTCTAAATAGCTATACCTCTGTGTGTGTGTGTGTGTGTGTGTGTGTCTGTGCATGTGTCTATGTGTGTATGTGTGTAGCTGTATAGATATAAACTGTATCCATGAACAGGTATCAGTGTGGTGTTTCCATATGCACATATATCCTGCAATGATCAAATGCAGCTTCCCCTTCTCCCATTCTCCCACCACACCTTCAGACCCTTCCCAATCTCCAGACTATTTTCCGGATATTTTGTTTGTTTGTTTAGTTCCCACTGTGTGAGAAGTATACAATATCAACCTTTTTCTGTGTATTCACTTTTAAAAGAATTTTCCAGGTCACCTGTTCTGCTGCAAATGACTAGATGATATTCCGTTATATTTATAGCCATTGTGTGTGGTGTTTATGTGTGATGCACACATGTGAGTGTGTAAATTGGTGTGCATGCAGAGGCTAGAGAAGGACTTTGGAAGTCTTCATCTGTTGTTCTTTGCTTTATTCCCTTGAGACAGGCTCTCTTGCTGCGTATATATTTTTATATGCTCTGTCTGTTGATGGGCACCTCTGCTGCTTCTTTTTCTACTGTGAATGAACATGGGTGGTGTGCAGGGTTCTCTCCAGCAAGTTGCTTTGAGTTACTGTGGATATATATGCAGGCGTAGGATAGCTGGATCATATGGTAGATCTATTTTAAAATCTACCCTACTTTTCATTGTTCTTTGCAAAAGATTTTTCCATGTTCTGTGGACAAAAGTTTCCAGAAAAGAGCTTCAACCTCCACTGAAACTTCTGGAAGACCCTTAGCTGTTGGGAGCTTCAGTGGAGAGTTTAGAATGTTACATATACAAAGAGTAATTATCTTGGGCCATCCTTGGCCCTTCAATATCCATGGTACCCTCTTCTGTTCCTGACCAGATCTTTCCATGAGCACTAGGTGAATCTTTTGGAGTGTACAGTAGCATCCGAGGTCTACAGTAGAGCCTCTCTGCTGTGTTTTCATCTGCCTACCTCATGTTTCCACCAATATAGTTGAAAAGTGTTTTGATTTATGACTTTCTTGATTCTGTTACTATAAAAGCTTCATGAAACAACTTCTACATTGGAACGTGAAATTTGGGGTAACCTAAATATGCATTCCTGGCCATGTTCCCTCATATTTGGCTCCAGGATAAACTATCACCTTTGAGATGAGAGTTGTGTTTTTTGCACACATAGTTCTTTGGGGGCAAATCACTCCAGGGTCAGGACATTTGATGTTTAACTGAAAGCCTCTCTGTAGAGTGACAAGCCAGTGGACACCCTACAGCTGAAAACTTCAGCCCTTTGAGCTCAAGTTCTCGACAGCAGGAGGATTCCCAGAACCCCTTGAAGCTTTCCATGGGACTGGTTTCTCAAACCTTTAATTATACTTGTGCTTCCTTTCAACTTTCTCCCACCTTTCTGTCCTCTTTGAGACACAAAGCCCAGAACCAAATTGAGGATGTGGTCCTAAGCTTAGGGACAACTGCTGTGTACTTCACTCCTTTGGTGCTTCAGCTCCCTTGATCATCTTTAGAGCCTAACAGACTTCCCAAATAACTGTGAAGATACCAAGTCATGGTTGAGCTTCTCGCTGATGGTTCACCTTCGTGGACCAAAAGGCCTCCAAGCCCTCCCCAAGTTGAGCATCATGTGGAGCTGAGAAGCTCTTTAAAATGTCAGAAAAAGAACCAGGAAGTGAAGGATGATTCATACGTGAGTTGCCTGGCATTCATGTCCCTAAGACTTAGTTACTGCAAAATTGCAGCTCCAAATAGCTTCTCCTGTCTACTCCAGACTTAACCGTGCAGTCCCCAGCACCAACACTGTCCTACTACTGCACTTCCTGGATGAAAACCCCGAGAAGTGTTGCTCTGGCTTCATCTCACAGGAAGCAGATGTCTCCTTTCCAGCAGGGTTTCTGAAGAAATCTGCAACCATAGCATGAATTTGCCTTTAAAATACAAAGTGGAGCCTTGAAAGAAGGCAGCATACTTTATTTTATGGAATTAGTACATTCTTAAAATAAAATATCACCTATAAATCATGCTCTCGATCTACCCTTATTTTCTTCATGTTATTCAAAATGAAATTCCAGAGCTGTCTCCTAGGAAGAACATAGCACTCAGTAAGAAAGGACATCACATACCAAGCTATCAGCCTTTGAGCAAATACAGCTGAAGGAAGATAATATTTTTATTTCAAACATTAACATTTGTATAAGCTAAGTGCCAGTGGAAGCAATGTGGTAGTTATTTTTACTTTTCAAAAACAAGTTCAAAATTCAAAGGAAAACTACCTCTCGTTTGAACTTAAGAAAAATTGGATGTGGTGCTATAGCTCAGCAGTCAGACACTCTACCCAGGTTCAGTCCTCACCCCACCCTCCGATACTGCCAGAAAAAAGGAAACATTGAGCTGAAGGCAAATTGAAGCTGTAATAAATACCTTCCCTTAATGTAGTCTGTAATGTGTGCTTGGGGTGCCCACATGGTACGTCCTGAAGTGTGAGAGGAACATTTGCCCCTTAAAAAAACATACTGAACAAAAAACCAAATTAATCAACAAAAACATTCATGTCACACAAATATATTTTAAGTCATTTCCCTGCATTGTACTTTTATAAATCAGATTTTCAGTGTATACTTCCACCAAAGGAGGAGTGTGTATTTGATGTATTTTGAGGCTATCTGAGTCATAACTTCAGATTTCTCCTCAGAGTCCACCCGAAGAAGCTGTCCTTTCTTTCCATACCGCCCGCTGGCCGCATCCAACCCCCAGTTCCCGTCTGGTCTCAGCATCCCCTTACGTGGTCTCACTTTCTGTTAAAGATGCCTGAGATGTAAATTTGTGAGATGGGAGGAACCCCAGTTGGAAGAGGAAGAAGATGTCTAAAAAATCCAGAATTTTTCTTAAGAAAGGTAAGCCTCATATAATAAAAAGCTAAAGGAAGGGAAAGTTGGAGGGGAGAGAAGGAGGGAAGGAAAGCTAAGAGAGTGGAGCTGAGCATCCAGGGGGAGAAATGGCCTTTAACTGGGCAGGTGTGGAGGTGGTCTTTGGAGCCATGAGGTGGTACGAAAACAGGAAAAGAAATATGACGGTGGTGGTAAAGCTCCACCTTGGTGGAATTTAGAATCAGCTACAGACAAACTTCTTGACCTCTTTGTGAAGCATTCATTCCTCATGAAGCTTCTACATACACAGGAAACTTGCCCTGTGTGTGGGTGGCAACACTCTGGGTAGACTCAGGGCTGGACTGACTAGGAGGGAGGGAGTGGGTGGAGTGTCAGCACTTGGGAGTCTCTCATTGCTTCCTGCCTGCAGCTACAACTCAGCCACAAGCCTCAGGCTTCTAATGCCATTCTCCACCACGAAGTAAAATAGAGTTTTTTTTTCCTTTAGATATTTTCATCAGATATTTTGGTAGAGCAATGTATATATTTGGTATGGCAATGGATGTCAAGATTAAAAAAAATGTTACTGGAATTTAAACATCAAAAATCATTTCATGTTTGATAGCCTAGTTAGCTTTAAAAAAATTCACTTTAAAAAGTAATGTTGACTGCCTGAAGGATCCATCTTTACATTTGACTTGGGGACCATGAGCACTTCCTGCTGTCCATAGGCCCAGCAGGAGGGACCCTACACCCAGCAGGACCTGGCTCTGATGCTCCTCCAGCTGCTACCTCTGCATGGAGAGACAGCATTAAAGAATGTGCCCATACAACATCTGCACCCCCTCTTCTGAAGCGTGGTCCTAAGTTCCCCAGTTTGAGCCACAAATTGTTCTATAGAGACAGTGTGTGTGTGTGTGTGTGTGTGTGTGTGTGTGTGTGTGTGTGTGTGTGTGTGAAGACAGGGAGGTCTGTCTATCCACAGAGCAGGGTCCTGAGTGGTGAGGCCAGGCACAGAGTTCTCATCAACATGAAGCAAGAGCTCCTTTAAGGCCTGGGAAGAGGAGGGTAAGTGTGGGCAAGTGTGTCACCTGTGATTTGTAATGACAAGGAGTAAGAGAACTACAAAATGGAGCCATCCAGAGCATCTTAAAGTTACGTCCATCTTGGTAGAAGGATCAGTATCATTTATGTGGAACTTTGTTCATATTGAAATATTTAGTATTTTGGCCTTCACACCTTTATTTGTACTTATGCCTGGAGCGCCCATAAGCCATTTGGCTGTAGAGAGAACCGTGTGTCTCCAAAGTTTACAGTAGTCATATTCAGAAGGCAGGCATGTAAACTAGGGTTGTGACCAAGCTTTGGGCAGCTCTACCCAAGTTCACCCTGTCACCTGGTGATTTGGGATTTGGGGAGGCAATTAGTATAAGAAGCATTGCTGAGGGGAGGGTCTTGTGGGGAAATTTGTGTCTTAGAAAGGAGAGGAAGAGGAGGAAGAGGAAGAAGAGGAACACACCTTTACTCTTAGCTTAGGAGTCTGAGTCAACAAAAACATGAATTCAAGGCCAGTTTGGTCTATAAAGAAAGATCTCACCTAGAAATAAAATATAAAGACGACAAAAGAAAGGGAGGAAGGAAAGAAGAGTAACGAGGAGGAAGAAAGACCCAAAGGGGCATGCTTTCTCTGTCTCCCATGATGCTTTGTGTTGCCTCAGGATCCACAGAGCTCCTGTCAGCAGACCCTTACCGCTGAGGCACTACCAGCAGAGAGGACCTCACCCTTTGTAGCCCTTAGCTTTAGACTTCCCAGCCTCTAAAACTTTAAAAACAAACCTTTATTCTTTATCAGTAATCAAGTCTTTAGTACTCAATCCAAGAAACAGAAGACTTGTGTAGGGTAACTCTTCAGAAACACTTCACTTGCATAGGACTCCATTCGGGAAAGTCATAATCTGCAATCAAAATAACAAACCTGGCTTCAAGTCCACCTCCATTTCTTTTACCTGCTTTAACCCTTCTAAACCTCACCAGGCTTCCTTGGGACCCTAGCTGCTGCAGCTTTCATGGAGGCGGTTATGAGGTGCGTTTGTTCACGGGCCCAAAGGGAGTCCGGAAACCCCCACAACTTTCGGCTTTGACTTGCTTCACAGTACCGCTCCCTCGTTAACCAAACAGTGCAGGGTAACTGCGCTGACAGAATGTGTGGCCAATTCCAGAACCTGCTTTGTAAAGCCAACAAACCTGGGTTGTTTTCCTTTGTCTCTCCTGTCACTCAGCCCTTAGTCACCAGATCACAATGGCCTTCATGTCCTCATGATAGCAAAACAAGAGGAGAATGTGAAAGCTTGTCAGACAGACACTTGTATCCAAGCTTTCTGCTGCAGGCTGACACTGAACTTTATTCCCCCTCAGGCAGTTTCTCTCTTTCACCGGGATTTTGAATGCTGATTGAAAGTCAAATTTGTAATTACTTGGTACATTTAGGACTATTACTCCTTTAAAATGTTTTGTGTGTGTGTTAAGGGAAAAACAAGTTGTTTTTTTCTTTTCTACTCATACACTCAGTGCAGCACAGAAAGCTTTTGTGATCTGATGTGTGGGAGTTTCCACACCCTGAGCAATTCTCAAGGAGTCACCGACTGAGCGTTCTATAATTCAGTTCTGACATTATTTACCCAGAGACAGAGCCCCACAAGTTGAAGGCTCACTCCCACAATGTTCTGTCCTCTTCAGGTACCAGTTGTCCTGTGGTCATCCTTGCCCCTGACCCATGGGCCTCTCAGGTTTGACTAATTGGCTCGAATGGCTCCTGGAGCTGAGGGAAAAGCATTTTTCAGCTTTGAACTAGCTGCTTTTGTGTAGCTGAAACCAAAATGCCCAGGGAAAGAAGTTTTATCTTGTTTGTAACTCCAGAGGATTCAGTCCATGGACACTTGGCCTTATGCACTCCATCAGAACGCCATAGTGGTGGCTGCTTGCAGAAGAGGCTGCTGTTCGCTTCATAGTGGAGAGAAAACAGAACGAGAGACTAGGAAGCAGGTACAACTTCAGAAGCATGCCCACTGTCACCTACTTCATCTGGGTAGGCCCTGCCTCCTGAAGTATTTACCACCCCCCTAAATTGTACTAACCAACTGAGGACCAAACACTAACACATGAACTGCCAGAGGAATTTCATATTCAAACTATAACCGTTTGTTGGAAAACATATTGCAAAAGATAAAGAGGAGCACCCAAAGCCAAAGACTTGGCCTGTAGGGCTGGCAACTCCATGATCTTCTCTGGGCCCACCATCCTGCTAGCCCCTTGGTGTGTTCAACTGGAAGCTCCTTGAGTGTTACTGTCTAAGAGTTTCTACAGAGGTCAGTCTCCAGTGATTTAGCCTCTTTCCAAAACTGGTGTATGACGGTGAAGTGGTGCTCTAACGCCATGATCATTTGTTCTTTCTGGAGACGTGACTGCATTCTAATGCTGTCTGTAGACCTCATGGACCCAAGTTTACCCCACTACCACCAATTCCAAAGTGATCCAAAGGACTTTGGATTGTCAGAGTTCTCTAGACACATAGAAGCAATAGGATGACATGTATGCATATTTGTTTGTATGTTAATCAACTTACATTTAGATAGTAACAATGACTGTCTCACACCAAGAGCCTGAAAACTTGGTAGTTCTTTAGTCCGTGAGTGAGGTGAGGCTGAAGTCCCAATTTGGCACTGAAAACCTGGGAGGTTCCTGGAGTGCTTCTGGTCCTCCGTCAGTGATGGGAGCTTGGAAATGCTGGTTCTAGTATCCGCAGCAGCAGCGACACCAGGGTAGATCAACATGGCAGTGAGAAGAAAGGCTCTGCAGGCAAGAGAGAAAGCCAAGTGAGCAAAGGGCACTCTCACTCAGCGTGGGGACTTGCACTTCGATGGACACTACCAGGTGATTCTAATTTGTGACAAGTTGACACTGAAGCCAACCTTCACAAGACTGAAATAAAGATGCAGTTGCCACTTGGTGGGTCCCCGAAGTTTCAACAAGTTGTTTCAAGAACCAGACATTACAGCAACAGATGCTTCTGGTGCCCTTGTCACTAGGGGAGTTGAGACAGAGTTTTGTGTTGGGAACTGAAGCAAGGACTGATCCTGTTTCAAGTTGTACCACAGTTGGTTTGTTTATGTGGTCGATTTTGTTTTCATAGGTCTCTTTTGGGGAAGACTGATTTGTTTCCATGTAAACGCATGCAGATGTTTATATTGACTTGAGTCTTCATATATAAGATGTTAACCAATTACCCTAAACCAAACTACCACACACAGTGGCAGCAGCAGAGCAAGTCTAAAAGAATAAGCACTCATATCTGAGGTCACAGAAAATATGGTAAAAGAGCAGAGGGAAAGAGAGTGCACCTGCTCATTGAAAGTTCTGGAACTTCGTTTGCAGCTGTGTGGAGCACTGTTTGAACTGCACTGAGTTGATTCACTCACAGATGCACAGACACCTGCTGCTTGGTCTTCCCAGGCAGCTGACAGATACATGGAGTCCAGCCGTGGGAACACAGACTGATGCTGATGACGCTGGATTTGGACTCGGATGGTACAGTGGGGAGAGAGAAAGTGCCTGCGACGTCTACTCTTCCTTTTCTCTCTCCTTGTCCAAGGGATTATTTAATGATCTGTTTACACAGTTAGCACATACTTGACTCTAATAATAGCCCTGGACCTGAATCATCTTCCTCACTGGCTGTTACACCGAGTCCCCAGCTGTTTCCATGACTTGTGTGGCTGGCTTTTGGTGCCATCTGGAAACCTCAGAGAATGTGCAGAGTGACCAGGGATGTTAAGTTTAGCTCTCCATGACGTGAGCAGCCTTCTATTTGTCTGCATTGACCTGCCTTTAAAATATGCAGCGTAATGATGGAGGAAGCGCCACTCCATACAAGTGTGGTTTCACCGCACTCATGTAAGACATACATTCTGTCTGAGAGCGTAGAACAAGGGTAGAGTCTGTGTATGATAAGTGTATAGGGCCAATAAGAG